TATATATATATATATATATATATATATAAATTATAATGAATAAATACTTTTTCGTTATTAAATAATAAATATATTGTTCTTATTATGTACCTATTAATTAAAAATGAAGGAAGAAATGCCAATAAAACATTGTTTCTTTCACTTCATATGTTGCTTTCACACACACATATATACATATATGTGTTATCTGGAAATGATAAACTTATTTTTATTACTCTGTTTCTACTTATATGTATGATATGTGAAATATTATCATACATATATAGAAAATCATACATGGTCCTCTGTGCCCCGTGCTTGGGGCTTTCCAACAATTTTAATGTCTAAAATAAAATCTCTTATAGTTATTAAGCTAACGTTTTGTCTGCGTATGCATAAACCTTGGAGGTATATGGTGAGCAACTTTAGGTCATTTCCTATAACTGATAAATTTTTTTACTAACCTTAGAATGTTAAGCGGTTCTCTGTGTCTTGCTCTCCCCTATATATGATTATATATAAACGACTCATCGACAAACATAACGAATTTTTCCAGCTGCCTCCAGCTTCCTAGCGATAAGCTATACCACTGTGCTATTGCTCGAAATAAAACTCACAGACAATCAGCTTATAAACACCAAGCAATATCGTTATTCGCCGATCCACAAGGAAGAAATAAACAGATACGTCCAAGAACTATTAAACAATGACGTCATCAGATCGTCTAATTCTCCATATAATTCTCCCTTATGGATCGTGCCCAAGAAACCGGATTTAAAAGGAAACAAACTATTTGCGGTAATGTGAGAGCGCGATTGCGAGATCGCGCAAAGTGATGAACCAAGCGCTGATCGAGCGATTGCACGACGGCAATCAGACATTCGAGGATCCGCAATTGCAAAAAAGGATCAAGCAAGAATCGCTCACAGGTTATAGCACGAAAGAATAACAAGCGTTTATTTAACAAAAGTCTCAAGCGAACACGCACGAACTACAACAACGCGAGCAACGTAAGAAGCAATCGAAAACGCAGCGAAGAAAGAGACAGCCGACGGAGCCGATTACGCTAGCGGAAGCGATTCCGCTATATTGCAATGCGGTGCACGGAGCAGCACACGAGATCGCTAGAGCACACACTTGCATTCGAGATCGGAGCGCAAGCAGATTACAGCTGGTGAAGCCAAGAAACAAAGAAGCGCAAACAGAGCCACACGAGCAACTCGAGTGTAAGCGACAGCGTTAGAATACGGCAAGCATTAGAGCCTGACTGCCCGGCTGCGGCACTCGTGGCTGAGCTCCGGCTGCTGTTGCTAGGCGAATTCGGCACGGAAAATACCTATATAAAGCGATAATCTTAGCGTGAGTCGCACGACGAATACTCAACGCTTGACAAGTGACCACTGGTACGTGCGTTTTATCGAAGTAAAACAAGGTGCGGAGCCTCTCACTCAACGTACTTCGTCGAGCGATCTGCAACATCCAGCCCGCTTCGTTGGCTCCAACGAAATGAGCCCGTCCCAGAACTGGATGATGCGTCTAGAGCTGGAAACAGAGCGACCGACGGGGTCCAACCCTGTACGGCAGTAACCGGCGGTGAAAGGGCAAATGCTATAAGCAAAGCACGTAAAAATAAAACCTAGCAAAGCGTAAAGGGACACAACAGAAACAAAAAGCAAATAATAATGAGAATGAGGAATAAAAAATAAAACCCCCAAAGGAAGGCACTTATAGTCCGCCTTGTAGTGCGCCTTACGCTGCGTTGTTCTGTGAGGCTCCAGGAAGCAGAACGATCTTCACGGTTAGTCTCATCAACTCTCTCTTAGCGGTGTGGACGGTAACGATACGGATCTGACCATATTGGCCCGGATGCACCCGCAGGATGCGAGCCAACGGTCACTGCGCGGACAAGTGCCACTCTCTGACCGAACGAGACAGAGCTGTCCCGTCTCCCTGATTCCGCAGGGATCCTCCAGTTGGAACGTGGCAACAGCGAGGTGAGGTATTCCTTGAACCAACGTTGCCAGATGTAATCGCGCATCTTCTGAAGGAGCCTCCAATGAGAAAGCCTCGTATCCGGCACATGGACTAGTAAAGGCTCAGGGATGGATAGTATTGGAGCCCCGATCAGGAAATGATCCGGAGTGAGTGGTGAAAGGTCTTCGGGATCGTTCGTCATTGCCTGAAGCGACTTTGAGTTCAGATGAGCCTCCATTTCGGCTAGCAGCGTGGTTTCCTCGAAGATGAGGGTAGCCTCCCCGATGATCCTTCGAAGCGGCGCGAGACATGCGCGAAGTGCGGTATGTCCGCGTAGAGTCCTGGCCGGAATTCCACACGAACTGGTAGTGGCAGTGACGGGCCGATGGTCTTTAACGGTGGCGGTTCGGTACGGAGGACCACCGGTGTCTGTTGTTCGGCCGGTCATGTTGGTGGCCCTGCTAGTCGTGGCGACTGTCGGCTCGGAGCTGGTGGTGGTCTCAGTCGTTGGCCGGTTGGTTTTGTGCCGGCTGCACGTCCTCGGCGCTCAGGTGCAGGGGGAACCGTTAATAGTATGGCTTTGCGCCATTGCGCCGAATCTTTGGATTTTAGTCCCTCTCGACGGCAGGTTTGGTGTCGGCAGCCGGTTGTTCGAAGGCAGCGTTTCCGACGTCATCTTTGGCGGTTCTGGTGTGCTGCTCGGCGGCTTCGGCGGCGGTAGTATTGCCGCTTCCTCGTCGTCGAAGAGCGCGAAGTCCGACCTGGAACACTTTTATGGCGGGGACGGCGGTATGTATGCACTGCGAGATGCAGTATGACTGAGGACAAGTCCGGTTGCTGGTGTCGGTAGTAATAGCGCCGGGACGCTGAACGGCGCGTATTCGAGAAGATCGGCGCGGTGTGCGTTATCGGCGCAAGATGCGTCGCGGAGACAGATTACAGCTGGTAAAGCACACCAAAGAACAAAGTGATAAAGAAGCGCAAACAGAGCAATTCGAGTATAAGCGACAGCGTTAGAGCACGGCAAGCATTAGAGCCCGACTGCCCGGCCGCGGCACTCGCGGCTGAGCTCCGGTTGCTGTTGCTAAGCGAATTCGGCGGAAAATGTCCATATAAGAGGATAATCTTAGCGTAAATCGCACGACGAAAACACGCTTGACGAGTGACCACTGGTACGTGCGTTTTGCCGAAACAAAACAAGGCACGAAGTCTCTCGCTCAACGTGCTTCGTCAAGCGATCCGCAAAACACAAATGGTGGAGAATGGTAATCGATTATCGCGCGCTAAATGAAAAAAACCGTCGGGGACGCGTACCCCCTTCTGAATATTACGGAGATTCTAGATCAGTTAGGCAGCATGAAATATTTCAGCGTTTTCGACCTAGCGTCGGGCTTTCATCAGATCCGGGTTCACGAGGCAGATGCACAAAAAACGGCTTTTCCCACGCCATACGGGTATTATGAATTTACTTCTATCAAGCACAGAATTCTGATCAGAATTCTCAGCGTCACTTTCGAGTTCTCTCTAATGCCGGTATTACGATGAACTTAACATAACGGAACGCAACGTGACGTGAAGTAACGTATAACCTAAGACACATTGTTTTATATGTGACCAATTACGATCGACTTTATGTGATGTAACATGAAGTAACGCGACGTGCAAATGTCAAGCTTTGACGTCGCGTTATGTTTAGTTGTTCATGTAATTCTTTCAGCCAATCAACGCTTTCGACTCTTGAACACGCGTTGCACTTAAGTTCAAGGGTAGCATTTTGACATCGTGTTGTGCATTCAAAAGACGTAGCGGATAAATATAACAGAAGATGTCGATTAACGATACATTATTGATAGAATGTGTACATTATTGGCGTGCTGTCAAATGCGCGCTGCGGTACGTTATGGTATGTCACAGCGATCGTAATTTGACAGACTTGCCGTCAACCAAGTTTATGTAACGTTACTTTACGTTATGTTGCGTTCTATTACGTTACGTTCATCGTAAATCCGCTATGAACTTTCCAGCATCATCTAGCAAACAAACTTAAAAATCAACACAGTGAAATAAATTTCAATTCCCACTGGAATTCGAATTTTAAATACGCAAATGACATACCAGAGCCCGTGTTTCTTCTTTCTCGACTCATTCTCGACGATCCTTTTCATTTTTTTCCAGTATGAAAAAAGCTAATTTATCCACGTAAACGAGCCTCTTCATATAATTATGATCGAATATCTCTCGATGAGATCATTAAATCATTGAATTATGTTCAAATCTCATTTTCATTACTATGTAGAGGTTCAGAGAAAATAATTTTTATTTGCTTGTTTATATATTTCTTTAAGTATATACGACGCATAATTAGACTTATTCACTATCTATATAAAATATAAAGTCATTTTGTTTTGTTTTATTCGGAATTTACGGGCGATAATACGCATGAGGTTGTTTATTAAATTTGTTTCTTGATTGGTGAGTAGCGCTTTTGAAGTGCCATATATGCAAGTAAAGTTATTAACCAATACTTTCGCTATATTGACGGTCGTAGTTTGTTTTTATTGGAATGGTTGTGGATATTTGATTAGAAAGTTTGAAATGGTCAGGATGTATGTATGTCTCATCCGTGCAAGTAGCGGACCCATAACGTCCATTGAGATTTTTTCAAAGGCCGTGCTAGGAGTATCCGTAATAAACATAGAATGTTGAGTCTGTACGCATACTAATGAAGTGACGTGACGTGAATTTGACGTTTGAGGTTTGTTTTGAAATTACAATCACCGTAAAGTTGATCATAATTAGCCGCATAAAACAATATGTTTTAGGTTTTGCGACCTCACGTCCCGTCGCGGGATCTCGTTGGTACATATGAAAAGTTTTAATGGCGTCTTGAAGGATGTCGGTCAATTTTTGTCTTATAATAGCCCAAGGAACAGTGTCGACATCGCCCTTAGAAATCGATATGGTCTTTAAATTTAATTCGGCACATACGTCTAACAATGAATGTATCGCTTCTGTTATAAATTTTTCTCCACGAAGGATGCTACTTGAGTTTTTATTAGTAATGATATGATGTTGCGGTCCTTGTTTTTATTCACGCGTGCGCGACCCAATGTAGCGTTTGTAAGTATGGGTAGTCTGCCTTGTTCGAGGGGCATTTTGACTGCTTTGTTGTATGGTTCACCTTTTTGAAACACAAATATCACTAAATTGTTTCTACGCGTCGTAAAATTGAGTTTATTGAGGTAAAATTATTCCCTGGCGACCATAAAAAAGTTACTAAATCTGAAATTAAAACAGCTACAAAAAATCTAAATCATAAGAAAACTCCAGGGTACGATCTTGTAACCGGACGCCTGCTTAAAGAACTACCGGAAGGTGGTATAATCCATCTTACTCAACTCTTTAATTTGATAATGAGATTGAGTATTGTCCCTCCCCAATGGAAGGTCTCACAAATTAAAATAATTCTGAAGCCAGATAAAAATCCTGAGGAAACTAAATCTTATAGGCCCATTAGCCTACTTCTTATTACAGCAAAATTGCTGGAGATCTTGGTACTAGCCAGAATGTCTCTAATCATAGAAGAGAAAAACTTGATCCCACTCCATCAGTTTGGTTTTAGATAGAAATGATACTATAGACCAAGTCCATAGACTAGTAAATAGAATTCATCAATTCTTCGAAAAAAAGGAGTACTGCTCGACAGCCTTCTTGGATACCTCTCAGGCGTTTGACCGAGTATGGCACGAGGGGCTCCTTTATAAGATCAAAGTTAATTTCCTTGATGAGTTATTTAACACATCTTAAAATCTTATCTTATAGACAGACATTTTTTAGTTAATATCGGAGATAGCTTTACTGGCCTTCATCTTATTCGTGTAGGAATCACTACGGTTGGCATCACCCTAGCCTTCAAACAAATTCGATGTTTTTGTATATACGGTGTTAAAAAATTACACTCATTTAATACAAATTCTTTTGTTAATAAATTTTAATAAACAATAAGCGCCGACTAAAACCTTCAGAAGGTCACTCAGGAGGGTGACCTCTATTATATATGTCAAGATCAAAATCATTGGAGCTGGGAATCCTGTTAGAAATATTTATCGTTTAGGGAATCCCTCTCAGATTGTCTTTATGTTGCTATATGCTACAGAACTCACTCTCTGAATAATATTCTAGAGGTTTTGATCGCTCATTGGTTATGTATTTTAAAAAATTCAGTTGCATACGCACGCACACACACACACACACACACACTGCTAAGCCGCCCGCCAGGACGGGCTCGCGGTTTCTGCGTGTTTATATTATATTTCAAGTTTTATAAATAGAATGTAATTCTATTACATTGTACGTGTGTACGGAGTGTTAATGCGTGCCGTATGTATGCATGAATAGGAACACACGTACTCACCGTGTGTTCGCCTAGGCGAGCGGGCGAGCGAGCACTGTGTGTGTGCGTTTTACTCAGAACAATATCGTTCATAATATATGTAACAAACTCAGGTTATCTCAAGGGGGTTTTCTGAACAGGAGTTTTACCGTATGGTATTGAATACTCCTTGCAATGGACTACTTCAACTGATAATGAGAAGCGACGGCGAGCGGCGTACTTCTCTGTATGTAACCATCTTTCGCTACAAACTGCGATGCTCATCGTTAATAAGAATATCCAAGGAGTAAGCCATTTTCTATTCATGAGGAAGAATTTCTCTTTCAGATTAGCCAATCCTGACGCTGAAGCTCACGCCCTACATCTTTGGCTCTACTTATTCACACCGTCCTTCATATCGCTTTTTGTGCGCGAGATGTTAGTCACGAAGTTAATTGTCGAATATACAAAGTGTGTTTATACAGTTACAAAGTTCCTTTTCGCATCGAAGATGATAAAAAGGAAGGAGTCTCAGATACGAAGAGTAGAGAAGATTAGCAAGTACGGGATAAACCTGGATTTGGCTAACTTAGTACAAGAAAAAGAAAATTTGCCAGAAGACTTCGTTCTGGAGGAGGATGAAGTGAGCATTCGACTTCGATTGAAGGTAAGAGACTTAGGTTATACTAACTGAGTGACTTGGGCAGCGGATGACAAATACATGGGTATAAATGTGTAGATAAAGTCCGACTGTACCATTTCTTAGTGGTGAGCTCACACATTGAGATGAAACAGACCATATGATCTGACTAGGCTTATTTGACGTCGCCAACTTGAGTTGGGTAACTTAAATCAATGTATGTCTCCAGAGTCACTCAAACTGAGTTTAGTAGGAGACGAAAGTGTAGCAGATCAGGAAAATGTATCGGTGATAAAAGGCCCGGAGGACAATGAGTCTGGACAAGCCTCTGCTTCAGGTGATGACTCGAATGAAGAATTTTTAAATAAATTAGGTCAAGACGGCAAGAATAAAGGAAGAGAGGTGAAACTTCACTTTCAAGTAGCAGCGATTTGGTCAAAGATCCTAAATGAGGGCTTGATTAAAGAAGTGAAGGCGTAATTATTGGATAAATATCCTAGAAAAGGTAATCTTCAATTCGAAGCACCCTTGCTCAACCTGGAAGTTGAGGTTGTATTAAATGAGACAGTAAAGAGGAGAGATTCCTAGGTTTTGATCAATCGTTATGTGGCGCAAAGATATCAGCCTTAGGGTCACTTATATCAGAGATTATACAGGGCAAAGAGAATATGTTGGACTGGATGGAGATTGTCCAGCGCCTAAACGATGCAGGCAGACTTCAATGTGAACTGATGTATCAATTATCAAGA